GTGGAGAATTACATTGTGGAAGCGGGGCATTAGGCGCAATTTCACGGACTTAACTAGCAGAGTCGACGTTTTTCCAACAGTATTGGTGCTCCGTCATTGGCTCACCGAGCTGCGCTGTCGGCTACGTGGTTACCACTCTTCCCACAGTGAGCCGGCTGCCATTGAAATACTATGTCATGTCCTTGGTTAGTGGTGCGATCACTAGTTTTATTGGTTTTAAAAGCTAAGTGATGGTGCTTTTAGCGTCGTAGACTTTGCACACAGTAAAGGAACGCCTTGGAGTCACAGAATATGGGTACTTTACTGGAAGATTCTTGCATAACAAATTTTGATTTCTTCAAGTTTTCTTTTTTTCCTCACACTATTGATACTTGGAATGGTCTCCCGGGCTGCCTGCGCGAGCTGACAAACGATGAATTCGTTGAACAATTGCCAAACTTTCTTCGCTGATCAGCTGTGTATACTTTCCTGATGTTCTGCCCTTTCAGTGTGTATACTTCAGTGTGTATACTCAATGTGTATACTTTATTTGTGTTGTACTTAATGCGACTAAACGTGATTTAGTGTGACTTGATGAATTGTATTTTAACATGTGTTGTACTCACTCCTTCATGATCTTGCTGTGCAAGATGCAGTATTTGTAAATAAAATAAATAAATTATTGCCGCTGGAAGTGCGATGGTCCCGGATCGCGTAGATATCGTGACGTGTGAGTTCTATACTTTGACAGCGATTGGTCTAGATGCAACCATAAAGGCGCCCGTCAATCTTCCTGACACCGAATAGTGTGTGCGAATCCGAGTTCGGTTAGAATGCGATATTTTCAAAAGGTCCACGAGATCTACTTGTGCGACGCAGATGACACGTTAGCCTTTTTGTTCATTGCCGGCACTTCAAGGTGCACAGCGTTTGCTTGCAGGCACCACTGCGGCCATCACGGTACGATTGTGGGCGAGAACCATTAGGAAACGGAATGCTCGTTAGCCGCCACTCCGGAAAACTGCCTTAAGTCTTTCTAAGGGCAGACTAGCGAGGTGTTATTCAGACAATCTTGATATATGGCGAATATGCGGCCAGGTGTTATATGTGCCGTAATCAGGTGGTCTTTGGCAATGACAATGGTTGCGATTGTTTTAGCACACCTAGGTATCCCCAAGCTCGGCTTAAAAACTTCGCCTTGAACACTTTGAAAGACCCGGATATAAGTATTTCCGGCATTGATATGCACTGCAGCAAATACCCCGAGAAGCGCCCTCTACAAATCAAGCATAGCTGATAAGAATGTGCCGCGAGTTTTGCTGCCGAGTACGAGAGGTGATCACTGCATAAAAGATCTATTTCGATAGTGACACCCAATAATCGGCTACATCTTGTATACAAAATTCTTATTCTGGCGATTAAAAACGGGTACCAGAACATCCGGCTTGTGGGTAAAAGGGACTGAGGCACGCTTCTCCGCAGGAATCTTGAGGCCTCGAGCACGCAGTGGCTGATTCAGAGGAGGGGGGCCATCTCCCGCCCTCAAACCTGTGCCTGCACCCCACCCTACTATTAAGTCCTCTTCTTCCACCTTCTATCCCCAATAAGAACGATTTCGAGCGCACAATAGCAGTATTTACGCAATGACTGTGAAACAAAAAGACGGGGTCCTGCCCTTTCTAGTACCTCGACATTGCTCTAGGGTCTTTTCGGAGCCTCGCACGTACCTGGGGTGGCGTCACTGCAGAAGCGGAGATGCATATGCCATGGACATACACATAAGGGTGCACTTATCGATGCTGAAACCGGACAACTTCAAGTAGTGAGGTTAAACAAAGCAGAGACGAAAACCCCGCCTTGCGGCACGCCACTAGAGGCATGATGGTCCTTCTTGCATGCAGCCTGTCGCGGCTTGCATGGAGTAGGACCTCTTCATTAGGTAACTCCGAATCCATCAAAACATTTCTCCGCCGATTCTAACATTTTCGAAGGCATTATGAGTAGCATCGCGCTTTACGTTGCCGCAGGCCCCTTTGACGTGGAGGAACATAGTAACAAATATACACTTTGAGGTAATTCTGTTGTGTCACATTGGTCACAAGGTCGATGATTCTGTCCTAAAAAACGGACTCGTGAAAAACCAGTCAGCCTCTGGATATGTATTGTTAGCGCTCCAAGAAGCACTCGAGTCGTGCGTGGAACATTTTTTCATTCTTTCTCGCGCAGCTGAATGGGGCAATTCATCTGTACGATGCCACTTCAAGTGACGACTTTCCAAGCTTCAGGATCAGCACCAAGCAGCTTGTCATCCACCTATCAGGAACGACGCCATCATTTCATGACTGCATGCAACATTTCAGCAGCTGGTCTATGCCGCGTTATCAAGGTTGTTATAAAGCAGAATATGTAATTCCATGCGGCTCAGGTGACTTTTGGGTTGCATATTCGTAATTTAAGAAATATATCACAGAAAAGGTGCTGGCGAAAAGAGAAAATATGTCATTTTAGTGATCTCATATTCCACTTGAAGAACGTTGCACTACACACCTCTTCGCGGAATGGAAGTGGTGAATGAGCCGTTGTGTGTACGCATTGTTGACAAGCACTCTGTTCAAGGAATCTGATAATTGCGCTGCGAATCCTGCAGTTGGCGTATTCAGACCGCTTACAATGGTGCGAATTGAATCGATGAAAAACTTGATCAATGTCAAAATATCGTGATCATGCTGTCAGAGATCATCTGAGCAGGATGCAGGGCGTAGTTATACCGGTGCCGAGTTATCCTAAGGAGTTATCCTAAGTGAAGGCTATGCATCTTCCATAGCCTTTTTCCGGTGCAGCATTGGCAGTGTGCGTGTTGCTTATGTTCTCCCGCTGATGTAATGATGCCACTGAACTAAAGAACGCTCTGCAGTGAGTATTCACAGCAGGCAGAGCTTCTTGATGCGCGTCTGCAACGAGAACAATGTCACGTGCCGACAGCAGCTGCTTCCCGGTGATTCGAACGGTCCCTCACCTTTTCCTGAAAACCAAAATTTCTCGCCTTACATTTCGACACTCCACTGATGAAATGTCATGGAGTCCTTGGCAATACAAAAAATTGTAAGGTTTATCATTACAGTGGTCAGCTGATTGTGATGCACCACAGCTGGAACACATGGAATTTTCACAGATGGCACTCACATGACCAAAATTTTGTCATTTCGGCATTTAATTGGCTTAGGAACCAAAGGCGTCAAAGCATTTTGAAAAAAACCCACCTTGAAATGTGACTGCCAGCAGTCACTCTTATTGCCAATCATCAGGCATCGAGAGTTTTCTAGATGGCACACCAAAAGAACTTGTGGTACATCATTGGAAATACTAAGGACAATCGATAGATCTTCAATCAAGATCGGCACCTGAAATATCATGTAGGGCGCATGCAGGTACTCGATGTCCCAGCAAATGGATCGTCCGGACGTTTATGCCACCAAGAACGTTGACCTTGCGTAGAGGGTCCAACGCTTGAGGGACGTCCACCAAGACATTTTTTCGCGCTTTCACTCTGATGTCCTCGATACTGTTCGGTAACAGTGCATCGAGCTTTGAAGATTCCGCTTGCCTGTTCAGCAGGCTCCTGTTGATAGATGGTTGCATAGTCAAGAAGAAGGCTATTTACTTTGGTGGGCTCGGGGGTATTCACAGCAGCTGCGTTCACAGAAGCTCCGAACATCCTCGGCTTCGCTTTACGGCTCACTAAAGTAACGCTTTCGTGACGGTAATTATCGGTGCTATCGCCAGCATCAGTTATGGTGGCCTTGCTCTCACCGGCAGCGCCATTCCGCTTTCTTGAGAATGTCGACATAGACTACGGCAAAACGGGTAGGCGTGCAGGAGACTACGTTTTCATCATCGTGAAGAAGGGAACTGTATGTTTCCAGCATAAATGCAAGAATACCAAAAAAGTCTGAAGATGAACAACAAGAGGTCAAAACAATATATAAATGTATGATGTTAAAAAAGAAAAAATAGACAACCGCCCTTTTGTGGCACGAAGCCACGGGGCAATAAAACTGTGAATTATATGTTAAATATATCTATTCACATTAAATACACGATGTGTCCCTCCGACTAAGAGCCTATATACTTTACTAGATGCATGCAGTGTCCCCACTCGGAGTTTCATAAAAAAACCTTCTCTTCAGAAACTTAGGATGGTTTTGACGCATAGAGTATCTGAACCGAGGAGGAATTGTTCCAGCCGTCACTAGTTTTTTTGACACCAGCCCATGAATTTAGTAATTCTCAGGTTAAGAAAATCGCAGGGCAAATTATGTGTTTTTATGTTTTCCCCACTAAATATGGCACAACAACAATAATTCTAGTGCACGAAAAAGACGCCCTATCGTCGGTGCGTCTCGAACTCGCTAATGAGTGAGCTCGACCAACCAATGGAGGGGTTGTCTGAGCCGTGATTTGTTCAGCCCACGTGGTGTTCCAGTTACTGCATGGCAGTTACAAATATTAAGTTGTCCTGTGCTTTTCATAGATTAGTGTCTGCTGGATTGATTTGCTTATAATATATTTGAGAATTTCAACAAAAAGAGATACTTTAAATGCTAGTTTTACTGTTCCTTACACAAAAGCTCGATAAATTGAATAACAAAGGAATAAAAAATTGTACAGGATACGGTAGTTGTCGTCCTCGAATTGTATACCAGTAATTATAATTTGGCTGCGAAGAAATAAACTAGGCTGAATGACGACTAGTCACCGAAAGTGACATCCTGCTACCTTTGAGATCAAACCCGTAAATAGAAGCACCAAATATGTATATACTATTTCAATGTTGCCACATCTCAAGATTAACTGCAGCAATTTTTTAAAGGCAATGTATACACAGTAGGAGTATTTAAGTAAAAGAATAACAACTTAAACAAACGTCATACTTCTATATAAAAAGCTGTGTACTTCGACCAGTATCAGTAGTCTCTAATTGTTGTGCCATGAATAGGAAATTGCATCTTGTGAACACTTACCTATACTTGCGGCCACCGGAACGACAAATAGTGCGACATTCCACAACACGTAGTCACAATGCATTTCTAGGGCTAAAAAAAGAGAAAGAACGCAGTTGGTGATCCCAAACACAATGTACACATGTGCAAATACATCACAAAAACAATAGGGCCTATTTAAACAGTAATTACTTCAATGAGAAATACTTTCGCGCCTAATCTACAACACTTCGCTGAACGCACATGTTCCAAAACCCTAAAATGCTGTTTTCTGTATCACCTTCGGGCCCTGAGAGTGTTTCAACAAGTGAATAAATAAGTAATAAAATTGAATAAATGCTATTCAAGGCTGCATGTGGGTAAAAATACTAAACGTGGTGTCATGCCCAATTTCATGGAACTAATCTGCGTTTACTCTCAACCAGTGTCAGTTTGTTGTGCAATGTCACACTGTACCACGCAAAGCCCACTATAGCTTTGTTCCGCGCACTTCTGAATAAACTCAGTTTTTCCCTGTTTCTAGCCAGCGACGATGTCTCGAATAGCGCTACGAGCCTTCGTATTTGCAGGACACTGCACCCAGCAGGTGATACAACCAACACTCAACTGTTGGCTGTCAGACTTATAAAAAAACACAAAAAAGGCCGCCCGCATCTTCCCACGGTATAAGGGGGCGGGGGGCAAATAAGTAAATGCATCGTAGAATAGCAGGCGTATCGCATGATTGTTGAGTAATGGGGTATGGTTTAGGAACGCCTACTTGTTATTTCGTTTTTATTATTCATGCTTATTGAATGATTGAGAAGCGTTCCCTTCAACGAGTGGTGGGACACTGTCAATGAAAAGTTGTGCAGCTCGAGCAGTTGGTTTTAACTAGCAGACGCTACCTGCGTCAGCCTCATTGGTATGGGAGTGTCGAATTGTTTTTATTGCGACAGCAATTGTATGGACACTCTCGGCATATATATATATATATATATATATATATATATATATATACACGCCCAGCAATTTATATCGACCATTTACCGCTGGCGATCGGCACCTAGGTGGAGGGGGAATCGGAGAGGAGTGGCTGGTCGTAAAGCCCATGATGGCACCCTCCCATGCCCTTACCTCGCAGTTGGGAGTTTCTTGTGTCTTCGCTCTCCTTAAGCTCTAACTAGAACGGTTTTGTTGTAATTACCGCGGCACAAAGGTCACCGCAATCGTTGCACAGTCTCCGTATGCGAAAAGAGCGTACTTTGCAGACACAGCGAAGTAACAACTGAGACTCTTATTCACGTTTATTTGTACCTGTGAGTACGTTCCATGGGTTATTTGTGCGTGAAAAACGCGGGAAACATTTTGATCTGCTAGCCATTTTTCTCCTCACCTTCTAACTTGTTGCTATCGCGTTCATTGCTTCGCCTTTGCGGCAAAGCTTTGACGTTTTTTGTCTTTATTAGTCTTATTCATTAAATTAGGAGCAGCGTTGCCTGCAATGAGTGCTCGGATGCTGATGCGCGATACACTGCCTACATATAAGTTTTTTCGCTGTTTACCAACAAAGGTGCTGGATGGCTTCCGGTTTTGTGCACCAGCGTTGCATAGGAGCAGTTTTGCCAGGTCGGACGAAGTGGCGTAGCCAGAAACGAGACCAACTGAAGTCCAAGTGTTAACAAAGATAAAAAGTAACAGAAATATTCCTAGCCCAATATAGCCATTCGCATTTTCAGTTTCATTTGCAGTTACAATTCTGCTTTAGACTATTACAGTAGCTTTTTGTATAATCGGTAGTTAATGTATCTCTTTAAAGCATCCGGAAACAAGACGTGATTATGAAAAACACCTTACAAGAGGACTCCGTAAAGATGGAGCAACAGTGGTTCTGCAAGCAAATCTGAGTACATGGGCCTCGTCAGTACCGTTTGAAAACGTGAGAGTATGAAACAAATCCGCTTTAACTTTTGTATACTATTGAACCAACTTCGGACAAAAAAAATGAACCAAAGTTACAGACTGCACAAATGTGCATGCCACATATTACCAGTCCGGCACTGAAGAGAAAGAAAAAACGTGCGCAGCCAAGGCTGCGAGAGAAGACGAGAGAACTGGTGATTCTAATGGAATATTGTAATACAAATTCTATACACATAGTTACAATGCTCACAGAAAAAAATGCACTACGCTTTCTTGGCCAATCTCCCTCAGTGGGTGTCAGCCATGAGCCGAGGGAAACAAACAAACTAATTAAGGGCAAGATGACTCCTTTTCTGATTTCTCGCGATAGCGCATAGTTTTCTTAAAATTTATGGTGCCGAAAACCCCGTGCGGAACGTACCCCCTTCTACGCACGACTCAAGGGATCTTCTACTCGTCCACGTCACGTCGAGGGTGGCGAGAATTGACCGACCAACTACAGCTTTGATGATCATTACAGTAGCTGTACACCTCCCTACTAGCAGCCGAAAAGCTTTCATCATGGATCTTCTCAAGGCCAAGTGGGCAGTTCGACGTGCACAGAGCACCAAGCTACTGCAGGAGGCCCGAATCTTGATCAACGATCCCAACGCCGACATCACCAAGCTCACATGTCTTCTCGACCGCCTCAGCGTGAGCAATCTGGAACTATCAATCATCAATGCCGCTCTAGAAGAGCTCATTCCTGACGACGATCTTGAGGCAGAATATAACGCTGCGGCAGAGTATAATGACCAAGTGATAAGTATGCTCGCCTAATTATGCTGCCAGATCGACGCTTTAGAGCGTGTTCGAAGGCAGCCGAAGGCGGCAGTATCAGCTCACATGACCATTATGGCTGAAGCTAATGCTATCCAAAGACTGTACAGCCAGAACTAATGGAGCTATTGCTCAGCCAACGACTGTGCAGCCAAGACATGACGCGGGACTTCTTCCGGCTTATGATTGCCAAAGCTCTGCCTTCCGGCTTTTAACGGCGACATTCACAGTTCGGCATGATTTAGGAAACAGTTTGAGCAGACGGTTCATCGCAACGGGACATTATCCTCGACCACAAAATTTTACTACTTACTTGATAGCCTTGTGGAAGAAGCCGTGGCATGCGCCGCGGGGCTACCAACCTCTGAGTCATGCTGTCCAGATGCCGTGAAAGTTCTGAAGGAAAGGTTCGGGTACTTCAAGAAACTAGAAGCGTACCACCTGTCAGCTTCAATAAATCTTCCTCAGGTCATGTCAGCAAACGATATAAGAGGTCTTCGGAAGTTGCACGACGCCGTGCAACTCCATATTCGTTGCCTGAAAGCTTTAAACGTACCGATACTGAAATTTTCTGCAATGCTTGTCAATATTTTGCGCAACGCCTTACCGGGTGACATTGCTTGGCGTTTGTTCGCGAAAAAGAAAAACAAGCACTAAGAATTTCTTCCATTGCAGAAACTGTGGGTAATATGTCGTAACAGGCACTCGCGATCGCGTCTTCAAAAGGCGGGCTGAATGACCTGCTTCATTTCACAAGGATAGAATTAGAAAGCCGCGAAAAGTGCTTTACGACGCCAACGGAGTGAAAGGAATATATTGAAAGCTTTAGAGACCGCAGTACGCATCAGTGTTGCATAATACTACAGAGGCAAAAGGCGTTGACTACTTCTTTTGTGGATGTGATAACCATGGCACCCGTACTTGTGGCTTTTACATTTATCTCGAGTCAGAGAAGCAACGGCTAAGCAAGGACAATCGTTGCTTGGGGTGTACACCGTGAGGACATCAGGCATGGTCCTGCCATGTGAAGCTCACCTGTTCACTTTGCCACGGCAGACATGCCTCAATAAGGTGTGACCAAATAATAAGGGGCAAGAAAGTACACTAACATCTGACAGCACGATAGCATTTTGTGTCAGCCAACGCTAAACTCCCACTTTATCAGTCATCGCGCATTCTAAATAAGATGGACAACGAATTATACCTTCAAACATTTCGTTCTTGGGCAGGTCACGATGATAACTGCCAATACGTGAGGGGTATTATAAATGGTGGCTGTCAGCGATCATTCATCAAGGAAGATCTCGCCACTATGCTACGACTCAAGATTGTTGAAAAGTCTAGAGTCGTATTCATCATTTTTCTAGAAGCGACAACTTCCAGAGCTGCAAAACTGAAGGTTGTGGAAGTGTCTTTTCGAAGTCATCATAACTCGCAAGTCTGCATTGTACAAGTCATCATAGTGTCATTTATTTGCCACGACGTTTGTACACCGTCCGGTGATAACAAATTCGTGAGACAGCGGAGACTGGAAAGACAATTATTCGCTGACTAACAATGCTTCCTTGGAGCAGATGCAGAACCCGGCCTGTCATTACCCATTGGGTCAAAAAACCTTTCGAAGATATTGACTGGTGAATTCTCGCGCAGCACAGATATCCATAGAATCGTTGCTATGAATTTACTATTCACATGGACTTTCAAAGGACCAACCCAGCAAGCGCTCTCCAGCGCAAGCAATGCAAATTTGATCATCGGTGCACTACACATGAGTACCCAGCCTGACGACGAAGTGACCTCACAGAGATCACAGTCTTCTGGAAAACAAGGGACAAGTGGTATCATAGACCCAAACGACTGTGAGCAAGACAAGACTCTCGGCGCATTCCGCCAGACAACATGTGAATCGCATGAGAGTTGTACAGTTGAGCCACCGAGGAATGAAGATAACTATGGGAAACCTCTCACTTGACTACCGAAGCAAGATGAAATGGTTTCTCTAAACGGGCAGCTCCATCAATACAACGCGGTTATAACAGAATATCTTTTGCATGGACACGCGGAGTTAGTGCCTAAAGATGTTCTTGAGAGCCGACATGTCTATGGTATAACCCACAGAAAAGTGACACAAGAATCACTTACTGCAAATCTGAGCTATCTTGACGCATTGTTTCATACACCACCTTCGCCATCTGTCAATGACATTCTAAACAAAACGGATATGTGCAAAGATCCTAGATCGATAGATTAGCCATAGTGAACCTGGCCTACAAAAGCAGAGGATATCTTACTTCCGATAAAAACGCCTCACCAATGCGTCAACTGACAACCCTATTTCTACACAAAGGAGACGCTGTGCTAATATGCCCCGGCCATATTTAGGTCGGATATTCATTGACTGCTTCTTCGGGGTCACATAGCTCTTAGTATGACGATGCGCATAAGGGACAACTGACGACCTTATGTAGTTCAGGTATCGTCTGCAATTGCTTAATTCACGGTGGATTCGACGGAGAAAGGAGTACCTGGTGCAGCTGCGAGCCCGTCATTGGTATCCGTCGCGTATTAGCAAGGACCTAATAGTGGATGACATCTTTCTTGTTTGTTTCAAGGTGCATCTGGCCCCTTGGCAGTGTGGTAGAAGTTGTTCTCGGTCAAGACAGTGTAGTACAGGCCTGTCGAATGAAGACGCAATAAGGTAACATTATGCCACGACCAGTACAGAAGCTCTACAAGCTAGAGATATCCTGCAACCTCTTGGGGCAGGAGGATGAAAAAAAGAATAAACGGGCACAGCCTAGGTATGCGAGAAACACGAGGAAGTTGGTGATGCTAAGAGCAGGATGGCTCCTTGTCTGGTTTCTCACGTTAGGGCATAGTTTTCTCACAGACACTGTTCGGCAGTAAGATTCCGAAGCGAGGTGTGCTTCTATAGGGCCAGCTATTACCAACTCAGCTTTATTTTACACACGAAAAACGTAGACAACAGTTACTTTTGACTAATATTCTTGTCATAGACGCTAGCTTTTGCTGCCGTCTCTTTGAATATTCAGACGGTGGATCAAACTCAGCTTAACAACAGCAAATAACAAAGATGGCCATTTATTCACAGAAGTGTACGTAGATTTTTTTAAATGAGGGGCACATTTTAAAATGGTCATTTTTTGCTTGGTGCGGCATAGCGAAAAATATTTGAGGGGAGGGGGAGGCACAGGTTCTTTACACCACCCCCTGGCTACGCAACTCCTAACCAATGTGTGTTATAGGTCAAAGTCAACAATGGTTTCCACTTTCAAAAATTGCTTTAATATTGTTATGGCAGTGAAAGACTGAATACCGAATACAGCAGATAGTGATAATAGCCAATGTTGCACGTCTCAAAGTATGACATGATTATGAGAGACGCCATGCTGGATGCATACGCAGATCATGATCACCTGGGGTTCTTCACGGAGCACTCTGTTGCATTTTGCCTCCATGAATATGCAAAAATGCGGCCACCTTGGCCGAGATTCCATCCCATAATCTTCCGCCAGAAGTCAAGTTTCGTAGCAAGCCCATCATGTTCCGCAATACTCGATATAATAAAATGTTTTGGCTAAATTTGCTGCGAGTAATAGAGATGTCATGCAAAGCACGAGCTATGAGCACAAACGCGGAAATCTTGTATTGGGCAAAACTTGAGAGCTCAATATACATGACTGGGGCCGGGTGCATGAGTCATCATTCATCGCAGGTTATGCGTTCGAAGTTTTGTAAAGTCCGCAATACACACAGCACAATGCATGCGTTGCTTCTGCAATCTGATTAAGAAGATGAACAACCGCTATGCAATCGGCGCAACTGCAGAAGGTTCTATGAAACGAAAGCTTGCTTGTACGTATTGAGACGAGTACAATACATTTTTTTATTGCAACGTGAACTTAGAGGTTAAAAGAAGACGAAACTGTGTGTGGTGCGTGACGGCGCCTCCCGTGAGGGGGCGGAAAGAAGAGGAAGGAGGTTGGGACGCTCGAGAAGCCAGGCGGGTCGAGGCAGTCGGCCAGCAGGAGAGAACGAGGGTTGCGACGGCTACCGGTTCGTTGTGGCACCCAACCTCTCGCGGGTGTACTCAAGGCGAACTCGGATGACGACTGACGCTGGGCGACGCGGGGCGATGACGGTGCAAGTGTCACTTTCGAGACCCGCGAGTTATTTGGGGACTACGGGGGCCCCCGAACCTCGAAGGCTGAGGCCTGTGGGACTGGCCTACTGGTGTTTCCAGGCATGGCCGAGCACGCGTCTGGCCAGCCACGCAATAGAAATGCAGCCGTCTCAGGGACTGCCACGATAGGAATACCACAACCTCAAGACGACTCGGCTACACGTCGGACCATCTCGTTTACAGCGTCCCGTAAGTGGCTCCCGTGCATTGGTGTAAGTAGCTGCGCTATGTCAGGGTCGCTGGAGCCATGTACTGTAGCTAAGTAAGTGCAGGGATGATAGTGGTGCAAAGGTTTGTTAGATTATTTATGTCACTGTAAAATATTCATATATGTGGGTCCATGTCGTATAACCGTGCTTTCATTGCTTACGTCGCAACTCTTGTCGTTTCAGCCCACACGAACCTGTCAGAATTGGCGGGTCTTGCCAGGGTTAGCTAAATACATCGGTATCCAACGCTCAAACCTAGGGGTGAGACATGGCTAATGAAAACGTTGTCGGTAATAGAAAAGAGCTAGGATTGAAGGATGCAGAATTGAGGGCATGGGTGGAGCAAGGAGCGTATTCAATTACGCTATGAGCGTACCGAAGAGCAAAACTCTCTCAAGGAGGAAATGGAATTGAAGCAGCAGTTAATTGAACAAGAACATGAGTCAGCTCGCGAGAAAGCGGAGCAGCAACAAAAGCTGCTAGAACGAGAGATGAAGGTGCTTAAGCTGAAGCTTCGACTTCAAGAAAGGGCTGCTAGTCCGCAGGCAGCCCATGACGTAAATGCTGTGAGCACGAATGCGTCTGTAACATCAAACGTGTGTGTAGTTCCCATACGCTAATACCTCCGTTCAATGGCAAATGGGATGAAGTAGAGGCGTACCTACAACGTTTCGAACAAGTCACCACCTGTCAGCAATAGCCAAAAAAGAAGTGGGTACTCTCCTTGTGTCTATGTACGACTGGTGAAGCATTGACGGTCATCGGACGCAGAGACCCGACTGCTGCCTCCGATAACGACACGTTAAGGCGGGCACTCCTGCAAGGCTTTTTGTACACGGTGAACGGGCACCTAGATAAATTGCGAGATGTCCGACCCGAGGATAGGGAAAACTCCAAGCAGTACGCTTTGAGGCTCTTGGGGTACTTCGCACCACCGCGGTGGTCTAGTGGCTAAGGTACTCGGCTGCTGACCCGCAGGTCGC